TTATTGGCATGAGTATATATGTAACCATTAAAACCATATCTATTGGTGCCGATATGGTTCTGTCCCTCTTTTGTTCCCCATCTCCTGCATGACTTGAATTTTCCGACAGATAAAAAAGTGAGTGAGTTTAGTTTTACGCCGCTTTTAGCAATATCACACAATATCACTGCCGGGAACACCAGAAATGGGCTTCACACATTGTACCCATGAGGGGAATCGAACCCGGGTCTTCGGCTGATGAGAGAACGCTTTAACCACTAGGCTACCCCATTGCCCCCGAGATGAAATAACACAAACACTTCCCTCAATTTAACTCTGTGTAAATAACTAAATATATGCCCTGATGTGACACAAAAGATACGTTTAACCTTGCGCACTCCTAAAAACTACAGGTCAGCTTGACCCTTCTATGTCTACATATATTTAAAATTATTTCCGAAGTAAAGCGACATGATCTACATCATAAATTAATTGAAAAACTATTACCAGGTTATTTCAGAATTTTAAAACTGCTTAAAATATATTACACAATTAGTGCAAAAGAAAATCTAATTGTATTTTCATGTTTATTTATTATTATTTTTGCCCGCCTTAATTCTCTCTTGCCGCTTGAAGCTGGAGATGCTGAGAAACACACAAACAAATACTGATGGTCTGACAAATACTCTCTAGCGTTGCAACAATTTTAAACGTGATACCTTACTGACGCAAATGTGAGATTTTGTTTCCCAAATTAATGAGGTCTTACGTTAAAAATGCTCTAAAATATTGAACGAGTAAATTTACCTCCGTGATATGTCATCCCATGATCCCATGCTTCGCCTCGAATTAATGACGACAGACATCACGATCCGAATGTTTACGATACTTTCCGAATGAAAACAATCTAGGGGAATAACCCTAAGTTTGTTTTCTGTCGTCTGCTGCTTCGATGAATTGGTGGAATAATTGCCCAGCTGGTATTCTCACCGATTTGGAACAAAACATGTATGCGCAAGACTTGTGATAGAATAATATCTGCCGAAATGTAAATTCGTTGTCCGCCTTAATTCTTACCCCAACTCACTTCCATTTAAAACCGGCCCAGAACATAAAATGTAAACAATAATTAATTCGCTGAGAGTACATGTAAGACCACATCATTCAAAGTCCATATATTCCCATACCCGTTTCATACGGGATAAGTCCGTAGCCAAGTGCTTAAAGCTTTGCCCGAGTTCAATGTATGAAGCCCATGTATAGTATAGTGTTCCCCTGTTGTGATGTTATACTGGAATAATGCTAAAAGCGGCGTAAAACCCAACCCACTTCAGTGGCGGATCCAGAGGGGGTTCAGGGGTTCGAACCCCCCCCCTTTATTTTTAAATGACTTAAGACCACATTGAAATTTTTTTTGCGTTACTGGAGCCAATGAGGTGTTCGCCCCCCCCCCCTTTAAACTTGCTGGATCCGCCCATGCACTTACAGTTTTACACGTAGATTATATCTGGCTCTTAAGTTTCAGTTTGGCGTACCAAAATGTATTCGCCAGGATCTACGTAGATGGAGTTTGTAAACGTCCGTCAAGGGCACTACACAGGTAGCACAAGCACCGTTAGTGCCCATGGTTCCTAGTATGGAACCCCGACTTTGGTTGCTGGTGATCTGCTACCCGGGTTTATGATACTGTCTGTCTACGCCAACCGTAATGTTAAATGTGTATCTAATCTCAAACTCAGCAAGAGAGCAGCGAAATAAAATACAATAAAAATGAAGAAACTGTGTCATTTATTTTAATTAATCTCAAAGTAAAGATGGTACAATGGTCTTTCAGTTGATATGTGATACAGATCTACTCGCTTTGTGTCATTGTTTAAATAAATGTGGGGCGGTGGGGTTAGCCTTGTGGTTAAAGCGTCCGCTCGTCACGCCGAAGACTCGGTTTCGATTCCGTATTCGGGGTACGATATGTGAAGCCCATTTTGGTGTCCCCCGACATATTGCTGGAATGTTGCTAAAAGCGACGTAAAACGAAACACGCTCACTCACGCATTAATTTTAAATAAATGAAGATAAAGAAAGATGAGGCTGACCTGTTTACTTTTAAAGGTATAAAAGTGAGTATTTTCCCATCACATGAGGCCATACATTTCCACAGCGGCTGAGAAAGTTATAAGATATAGAAACTTTATCGGATGAAAAATCAGGGCAGGCGGGTGACGGGAGATGGGTGACACAGTGAGTAAGTAAGTCAGTTTAGTTGTATGCCGCACTCAGCAATATTCCAGCTCTATGTCGGCGGTCTGTAAATAATCGTGTCTGGACCAGACAACCCAGTGATCAACATCATGAGCATCGATCTACGCAATTGGGATACGATGACATGTGTCAACCACGTCTGAGAGCCTGGCCACCCGATCCCGTTAGTTGCATCTGATGACAAACATGCATGGGTTGCTGTTCAAGACCAACTCTGTGAGAGACAGAAGAAAATACGTCAGCCTAATATATATAGCCATATCGCCCATGCTTGCATACTATTTTTAAATACAACCTTAGGATATTCTAGCTGTAATAGTGTCCATTGTCAACAGGTTTGAAATATGAATCGTTTCTAAATCATTCTAGGGATAATGGGTTGATATATCTGACAATCTGAATATTCTGTTCACTCTGCGTATCAAGATAATATGTTGCTCTAAAAATAATCAATTAAAATATTAAATATGACTAGATTACACATCAGAACACCGTGCATATGGAGTGTATTATTTAATATTGCTATAAATACCTGGGGTCTATTTATTTCTATTTATTTCGGGAACAGATAATATTTTTCAGTTAAGGAGGCGCAGACACGCGCGCGCACACCATGACGTCACAGTTGGACATAGTACATCGTTCCCAGAACTTGAAATACACTCGCAGGGTCGATGTCTACCCAAATGGTATTACCACACACACTTTCACTATTGTATTGACTAAGGTTTACATAATTAATAGCTTCCGGGGTCACGCCGCCATATCGGCTTGCTGTTTACATGTAAAACCTCCGAATGACCATTACAGCATATAGAGTATTTTTCCAGATAAATAGTGGAATATTACTTTGGGATTGACCATTTAATTTGTGCATTTTCAATGCCTGTCACATACACGATTGGAGTATTATCGAGAAAACATGCTCCTGCATATTCAGGACCATGGTTAAATCTGAGACAGTTCTTGCAGTTCCAATTCACTCACGAAAAACCCTGGACTGAATCGAATATAATACTTCCCTCAAAATAGCTCCGTGACGTTCTCCTTCAGAGACAGTGCTGTTATGAGATGTTATTTCTGCGTAATAGAAATGTACGAAGCTCCTGAAGGGACATTTGCGTAATCAAAAATAAAAATCATAATCTCGTAACAATGACTTATAATCTCGTTAAAACGACTTATATCTCGTAATAACGACTTATAATCTCGTAATAACCTCTTTTAGATCTCGTTATAGCGACTTTCCAAACACTCGTAATAACGACTTTTAAATCTCGTTATTACAACTTTAAAAAAAAACCTCGTTATAACGACTTTTAATCTTGTAATAACGACTTTTGGGGGCCTTCATCTACCTCTGAATTGGACCCGTGAAGGTCCGGGTTAGAATATTGATCTTCAGTAACCCATGCTTGTCGTAAGAGGCGACTAACGGGATCGGGTGGCCAGGCTCGCTGACTTGGTTGATAAATGTCATCGTATCCAAATAGCGTAGATTGATACTCATGATGTTGATCACTGGATTGTTTGGTCCAGACTCGATTATTTACAGACCGTGGCCATATAGCTGGAATATTGCTGAGTGCGGCGAAAAAGTAAATTCACTCACTAACTCACTATTACCTAGTATCTGAGTCAACACTTAACTGTAAGAGTGAGTGAGTATGGTTTTATGCCGCTTTTAGCAATATTCCAGCAATATCACGGCGGGGACACCAGAAATGGACTTAACACATTGTACCCATGTAGGGAATCGAACCCGGGTCTTCGGCGTGACGAGCAAACGCTTTAACCAGGCTACCCCACCGCCCCTTAACTGTAAGAAATAGATAAAGGATGCATGTTTGTCTTGTCTCGTCAAATAACATATGATTATCACTTCGAGTGAACTGTGTAGGCGACATGTGCGGCACAGACACATAATTATATATACTCATGTCAATAATGGTTGTCACCCCCTCCCATTTTTATTATTGGAGAGGGGGGGGTGGGGGTCTGGTGGGGTTGGGGAGGGTGTGACAACCATTATTGGCATGAGTATATTTACTATGCAGTTTTCTTGCATGACTTCTATTTTCAGTGTCTGAAAACATTTATTATTATTGTATTCTGAATGTCGTTTATATATAGAGATGTTTCACTTTAGTTGAATATCGAGTTTATATTTGTAGATCCCTATAGCATTTCATCACTAAATACTTTTTAAATCAGTAACGGTGATTTCACATGATACATTTGGGATTACACTTTCTGAGTAAAGTACAGATTCTAGTACTTTTGTTGGGTTGAGTCCCATGCGAGATTCGAACCCACACGTGCCCCTGAGTCAGACACCTAATCGCCAGTACTTTGTGTAGTTTTCATGCATAACGGCCCGACTGAGAACACATAAAATTCTGAAAATGCACTAAATAGCTTTTTGACAAACGCATACATTTACTCTTTAATTATTATTTTGTTAATTTAAAGCCAAAAAAATTATATGACAATTTCGATTTTATATTTTATAAACATAAATGATAGCGATTTTATATTTTATAAACATAAATGATAGAAAATATAATTGTATGTGTATATATTTTCGTATAATTATTTTATATATGTATTTCTCCTCTACAAATAAGAATAATGAGCAGATGTCCCTAAACTTGCGCGGTCTTGCTGTCAGAAACGTGAGTCCCGCCTACCATCGCCAGATGGAGCTCTAAAATTATGCTACAGGAAGTAGGAACAACTTTGTTGACATGCGCAGTAATGGAGTCCGTCTACATGCAAATATTAAAATTGTATTGATTTGATCGTTGTCATTTGAGCCGTGTTTCTGTACCTTCCCAGCTCTAATCTATGGCATAGGAAAGGAATTTTCGGATATATGTGAAATTTTAACCTTTCGCCGGACTGTAGTTGTGTGTGAAAATGACGAAGGACCGTCTGGCTGCTTTGAAAGCGGTAGGTGTTGACTGCAAACCTTACCCACTCGTTGAGTCCTACCATAGTCTATATTGTGATTGTAGTGGCTGGGACGGCTCAAATCTTATCAATCTAGTCACTGTCCGCTATGCATCCTGTGTGGACATACTCAGCCACTGTAGCCTATGTGATTGTGAGCAACTATCAGAAACTCACACCACCTAAATCCCGACCGAAAACGATAAAGGGCACTTGTACATGACAAGAAACGGTGGGAGTGGTTTTAGTACAACTGATGAATGAAAGGCTCGATGATAGTAATTATTCCCGTACCGTACGTAGAGCATTGTAACGGGGGAAAATATAACTGTATGTGACAGTTTGATGGGGAGTATAACACAAAGTTTACTGTATGCCCAGGGAATGTGTAGATCGGTCTATGTACGCCGAATCAGGTGATTTTGGCTGATGAGTAACTGCTTATAATAAACCTGTTAAAAAGCAAACAAGTTATTTTTTCAAAATATGGATTGGTCCAATAATACCAAGTCAAATAAATGTCATTGTAGGTGAGATCATCAATTCTCATAGTAGTATTTGCTGATTTTCTTCTGACTCAAAATGTCATCGAAATGAACCCCATGACTAGCTGTGATAAGCAACACAATATAAATCACCATATTCGTGTGGAGCATATTATTTTGGTGATACGTGATGAAAAAATATTTCACTGACCATGTGATCTCATGTGTATATTAAGGGTTAGTGTACACAATGTATCTGGAAACATGGAAATTCTTTTACATTGTATCTATGTTGTGTCTGTCATGATGAAACTTTAAACATACATCTTACTTATGTGTCAACCAAAATACAGTTGAATATTTCTATCCTAAGATCATGAAGATTGTTGTATAAGCTGACATACACGAAGAACATTACAAATGCTCAGAATACCTTCGTGAGTAGAATTGGGCAGTATTGGTCTTAACCCATAGATGGCTTGGTTGGTACTGTAAAAGTTGGTTTCATCTCGTTGATTTAGTTTATACAATATGACAGTATGTAAATATGGGGATTGTCAGCTGCATCAGCCAGTTTCCGGACCAGAACCCTGTTGCATTATTCACTGACTGTGAACTCAAAGCATATGTTTCGAGAATGCCTCGTAATTGTGTCACTTGTGCCCAATCCATCTGTTTATTTAAAATCATGGCTTATACAGAATATGTTAGTATGACAAAATGAAGGGAAGGTGTGTGGGGGATGGGCGAGTTGCTAACTGATGGCAAGTGACTTTGTTCAAACTGCCTCTGTTCACCCAGCGGGGCGGTGGGGTAGCCTAGTGGTTAAGCAGTTTGCTCGTTACGCTGAAGACCCGGGTTCGATTCCCCACATGGGTACAATGTGTGAAGCCCATTTCTGGTGTTCCCTGCCGTGATATTGCTGTAATATTGCTAAAAGCAGCATAAAACCATACTCACTCACCCAACATTGAATGGGTACCTGGTGGGATCATGATGACTGTTAACCTCCTGGTGCCTCACTGACAGCTTGGGTTGTAGTACACAGTGATCCACTGACCAGGGTAATAAATGATCATACACCATGCGTGCTGGAATGTAATGCAATATAAGTACAAACGTTATTATTAATATCTATTTTACCCCATTTCGGGTGTCCCCAACCCCGATATTCTCCCTCACTCACTTTAATTGTAACATGATACAGTTATCATGATTATGATAAGGATTGATTGACTTCTATGCTTAGTTTTATATAGGTGTTGCCTTATCCAAGCTGACACACAGTGATGAAATACACCTCTTTGATCATATGTACATAATGACAGTGAAATTGAATAATGATTTCTTTTCCAGTCTATGGTAAACACATGTTGCTAGGAAATAGCTGACTCAGTTGTATTTACCGTTATTATACTACAGTATATACAGTCGATTGTGTTATAACTGACACATGTTTACTGCATACACAACCTGTTTTCTCATAACTGATGTTTATTGTAAATACAGCCTGTTGTTTTTGTAATTGACACAGAAAAAATAATGTTGTTACTGATGTGGCCCATTGTGTCATTACCGACTCAGAATAATATACGCACGCAAAGCACACACACACACAACAAAAACAACTTAGTGATTGCTATTGCTTGATGGATATATTTTGACCTATAGTACAGATTGATTTCCCTTGGCAGTGCTGTTTCTGTGGTGAAATGTTATGTTGGAATATAATTGTCATACTTCAACAAACATGACTTTTATTCACTCAAAGTATGACATTTATAATTTATTATCCATCATCGTCTAAGGCTTATTTCAAAGCTTTGATAAAGGTAATATGCTAATGGCAGGTATTAATAAAGGTGATTTAGTTTGTCATTTATGATTTTGGCTAAATTTTTGTAAACAATATTGAATGAAATTTTGATTAAAAATAATGATATAGATTTCAAAGGTAAGTCTAGTATTATGAAGAACAATTTTCTTCTAACCAGTATGTGTAATGACGTGAGTACATCAACACAGATCACATGATATCTGACCCCCTTGATGTTGTGTGCAGGGTGATAAACTGCAAAGTGAACATCCTCAAGTGTGCTTGTGGGACATAATACTGTGTATTTACCACTGTTGGTAAGTGAAATTCACTGTCTGGATCCAGTTACCAGGTTAATGACGGAATTAAGCATTTTTTGGAGTATGTGTTTCTTATCACGAAAGGGGCTGTGAGGTGGCCTACTGGTTAAAGTGTTCGCTCATCATGCCTAAGACCTGGGATCGATTCATTATACATTTCTGGTCTCCCCCATCATATTGCTGGAATATTGCTAAAAGTAAAAGCGGTGTAAAAGCCATAAACAAAGATCAACTGTATGTAGGTCATTGTGCTACAACATACACATGTATGTACTTTATATACAGGTCACTGGGTTACAAGAAATATGTATGTACAGGCCAATGCATTATATTTATAATTGTGTTACACAGTATTACGTGACACAATTGTAATTTCATTATACACAGTATACATGGATCACTATGGTATAACTGACATAATGGTAATTTCATTATACACAGTATACATGGACCACAGTAGTATGACTGACACAATGGTAATTTCATTAAACACACTATACACAGACCACTATGGTATGAATGAAACAATGGTAATTACATTATACATAGTATACATGGACCACTGTGATATAACTGACACAATCAGGGCTCGATTTAAGAGATGTTAACTTACTTGCACTGGGTGCAACCTAAGATAAAAACCTACTTGCACCAGCCCAATTCCAGTTGCACTGCTTTTATTGGAATATGTAATGAACAAAATATGCTATGTATTATTTAGATGTTTTATTCAGAGGTTTACCCACTCAAAATTGACTTGCACCTGGTGCAAGTTAGACTAATAACAAGGTTGCACTTTGTAATATTAGGTTGCACCAGTGCAAGTATCAAAGCACTAAATCGAGCCCTGACAATGGTAGTTACATTATACATTGTATACATGGACCCCTATGGTATAACTGACACAATGGTAATTACATTATACATACTATACATGAACCACTATGGTATAACTGACACAATGGTAATTACATTATACATTGTATGCATGGGCCCCTATGGTATAACTGACACAATGGTAATTACACTATACATAGTATACATGGACCACTATGTTATAACTGAAACAATGGTAATTACATTATACATAGTATACATGGACCCCTATGATATAACTGACACAATGGTAATTACATTATACATAGTATACATTCACCACTACATTATACACAGTATTCATGGACCACTATGGTATGAATGACACAATTACTATCATGTCATACCGACACAAATGAAGTTACAATATTACAAGTACACATTGATGTAATCAGTTTCTCACTTTCTATACACATGCCAATGTCAACTTAAATGTCCATCATCACAGATTTATGGACTCCCCAGGGGCAATGTTTTAGACTGTGACACCTTTAATCCCACAGCAGAGTAAATAGTCTTAGTTAATGAAAGTTGGATATGATCATAGGCTAGATATCTGATTTATGATGAGTTCTAAGGATGTTTCATTTAATAGTTATTACGAGGAAATAACTTTTGCGTGACTGTAATGTTCAAAATTACTGATTCCGTGATCTTTGAAGAGAGAGAAGAGAGAAAAATTCAGAAAAACACTATTTTGTTATTTATCCAAATGCAACCCTAATTTAATCTACAGCGATAGAGACTCAGGTGCACATATCATTGCAACATATCAGATAACTTGACAAACAAGAAAGTAGTTATTTTTAATTTTGACACATATTAAAGGAAATAAAGTATATCATGCAGGCATTGTGAATATTTGAGCCTTACATTTCAACGTATCAGTGTGTTCACTTGCACACAGCAGTATCATAGCGAGGTGACAGCTGACATAATCAAGTCTGGATCAGAAACTCCGGTGATTGATGTAATGAGCAGTGGCCTTGTCGTTGGGACACAGTGACCTGATATCAAGCCAAGTGGTCATATGACTAACATAGATTACCGGGGATCCTTTCTAACCCAGAATACCCATGGGAATATCCTGCTTTCACAATGAGAGTTAGATATCAACCAAAGCTGAGGATTATGTGTATAAGCTACCTTACAGAGTTCTCTCCCTTACTGCCAGGATCCAATTCCGTCATTAACCTCAGTGATCACCCCTGGCCTGTCTACTGTTACCAATGGTTACTAAATGGCATGACCTGCAAGAGTCTGGTATTACTTCTTCTTTCCCTGGTCTGTTAGCCATAGGCTAGTGAAATCTCGAGGAACTAGTGTTTTGCGTCCCAAATCTGGTTCTTTTACATGAATACATCCCCCAATAGAGCTTCAGACTAGGAGGGTATGACCAATGGTGTCCACCACAGGAAGAAGTGTTCAAGGTGTGTTTATTCCCAGACCACCAACCCCGCTCAGCTCAAGTGTTCCCTATCGACTATGCAAGAAACAATAGAGCACAGGGAAAGAAGCGAGTATCATCACTTGAAGTTTGTAGATCATTACTAATAAATGCTTAATCAATAAGTCAGTCCCAAGACACTGCAGTGGATCGTAGACATCTGAGTCAGTCCTGGGCCATGTGTTAATTGGTCATTTGTGCAGTTTATTTGAACACTATCTGTAGACATGGATCCGGATATATTTTTGATAAAGGAGGATGTCTGGATGGATCGTAGGAAGACATACCTACTGGGAGCTTGCTCTTACAATGACATTCCTCTTAAATATTTCATAACTTGAGCTGTTGCTGTATGCTGTTTCAGATCGGATCAAGCTCTGGGAAACCGACTTAACTGTCTTCCAGAATATCGTTAATGTTTCTTTTCTAAAATTTATTAGTGATATAGGGGAATTTCTTGTGAAAAGTGGATGAGATAATAAAGTATATTGGTGCTATTTGTCACCAAATTCATAGTTTGACAGGGGCGGTGGGGTAGCCTAGTGGTCTAGACACAGGTTCAAATCCACACATGGGTACAATGTGTGAAGCATATTTCTGGTGTCCTCCATCGTGATATTGCTGGAATATTGCTAAAAGCGGCGTAAAACCAAACTCACTCATTCACTATAGTTTGACAAAACATTCATGTAGTGTCTACAGCAGGATGTCTAAAATGAAATGGAACTTAAACAAAATGTTCTGTGTGTGGATAATGAAGGCAGCCCCATTATATCGTTGTACATACCATCTTACTTACTCTTTGTAACTCTTGTAACTTTTGTACTCTTACTTACTCCCAACAGGTTTTACTGTAGGTTTCAGTGGCAACTTTCACCAAAGGTTTCACTGCAGTTTGCTGTAGGGTTCAGTGTAGGTTTTACTGCAAATTTCACTGTAGGTATTTAGCACTTGATACACTGCCGGTTTCACTGCAGAGTTTGCTGTAGGGTTCACTGTAGTTTTCACTGTAGGTTTTAACCCAAATTTCACTGTAGATATTTAGCACTTGTTGCTTTCACTGTAGGTTTCAGTGCAGATTCCACTGCAGGTTTCACTAAAGAGTTCACAGTAGGTTTTGCTGTAGGTATTCAGTGATTGTTACACAAGAGGTTTTGCTGAAGATTTCACTGCACGTTTTACTGCAGATTTTATATTCAGAGAGAGACATGGCAACTAAACCATTAGTGATTATTGAAACTCCAGAGGGGCTGCTCTAAATCTAGTTGTTTTGCAGAAGCCATTTGTCCGAAGGAACTGTGGACAAGCTGAATATGACCAATCATTACAAGATAATTATAGCGTTTGGATATGGGTGTTTCCGGCAAAGAAAAATGTGTAATCCATATGTATTGAATATATTTTTAGAGATAATTGTTTGGGTCAAAATGGGAATTTGACAATGAAAGATGACCAAAGGTTACTTTAGCATTCAGTCAGTGTATCTAGCAGACACGTTTATTTACTTCGTGTACCACCTGCTGTACAGGGAACAATTCTGTCGTTGATTTAATGTCTGGCTGGTGTGGAATTATTAGTGCCCTACACAGGCTGAATATGAAATCGTTACGCGGTCAGCTCCAAACTTTCTGAATGGTGTAACATGTATGTTACATACCTGTAATTGCTGATGCTGGGTTCAGTAGCGGCATTGTAGATCATGTGACTGCCCCTTCACCCATAATGCAGCAGTTTGTATACAGATGTAGCAGGCCATTTTTCCCCAGTCTAATCTGGGAAAACGGGAGAGATTAAGCGGTGTGTGTGTGTGTGTGTGTGTGTGTGTGTGTGTGTGTGTCTCTCTCTCTCTCTCTCTTAGGCAAAAGTTTCTCTGGGGAAGGTTTGGCCAGGGAGAAAGTTTCGCCTGTTACAGCGGTGTCAAATTGTCAGATATTTGATTGCAATTGTCAGACAATTGAAAGTGTGACTGGGCAGTAGGGAAGCCTTGTGGTTAAAGCGTTTGCCTGTCACACCAAACTTATCACCACCCCTAAACACAACCCAGTTGTCAGGCTACAAACACAACCCTGTTGTCAGGCTACCTTTGTTTTTCCCAGTGGAATGATTATCAAATACATCACAGTTGCTATAACACACATATACAGCCTTTGGTTGGGTTGGTTTGTTGTTTAACGCCACACTCAGCAGTTTTCCATGTGATGTGAGAGTAAGTGAGTGAGTTAAGTTTAGCAATATTCTAGCTATATGGTGGCGGTCTGTAAATAATCAAGTCCGGACCAGACAATCCAGTGATCAACATCATGAGCATCGATCTACACAATTGAGATACAATGACATGTGTCAACCAAGTCAGCAAGCCTGACCACCCGATCCCATTTGTCACCTTTTAAAACAAGCTTGGCTTACTGAAGATCAATTCTAACCCGGATCTTCACGGGTCACACAGCCTTTGGTACACTTGTTCTCAGCTGAGACCAAATTGGTCGCACTTGCAACTTCATTATCATTAAGCAGCTTTTGATGCCTATTGGCTCCCATTACTAAAAGAAGATTTGCGACTGAAATGTTCCATTTTGAAATTGACACATGACTACCTATGATGGCTTGTTCAAATCCTAAATTGTTTTTCTCATTTTCAAGAGCCATTTCAAAATGATGTCATCCCCATGGCCAAAGTAATAATTTGTTTGCATGCCTAAATCTGTCTGGATCCAGAAAGTTTGAAATGGTAACTAGGAAAATATTTCCGAAAATGAACGGTCTTTCTTTCCATGTGTATTAAAAGAATATTGAAAATGTGAACATATTTTCATATCATTGACTAAAAGTTTCTCAAATATAGATCCTATCAGAAAACTATCCTGAGATATAAAGCTGGGATTTTGTGTCAACAGTTTCTTCAAATGTGTTTATATGGCCATAACGTGTGAATATACATACATTGGCTGAGGATGTGAACTACAGGAGTAACTTTGTTTGTTACGTCTGTGGGCCATCATGGCCTGAAGTCTGAAGCTCCATGCAATTAAAATATTTTCTGTGAAGCTAGTTCAGCTCATAATGGCCCATATATTCACATTGACGACTGTTATAGTTATAGCCAATAGGCGACTTTGGACAAGAAGGCTCTTAACATACATAACTGGTACAGACTGATACGCAGAAGAAATACATGTTGTGATATCATAACTACGTTGTGTTAGTCATGATTAGCATGAGAATCTGCTGATGGTGACCTTATTTATGTCAGGTTCAGGTTGACTTTGTGGTTAAGATAGCATCCCATGCTATACAGACAAAATGTTCAAAGCAGCACTCACTCACTCACTCACTCACTCATTCCTCCTCACTCACTCCTCACTCACTCCACTCACTCACTCCTCACTCCTCACTCACTCACTCCTCCTCACTCTCACTCACTCACTCACTCACTCACTCACTCCTCCTCCTCCTCACTCACTCACTCACTCCTCACTCTCACTCATCACTGATGTTTTAACCCCAAATCATATGCATATCAACAGAGGCTAGAGGAAAAGAAAACAATCTATGGAAAACACACCCAAAGTTTAAACTCTGGGCAGTGCTGATGTTATTTTTTGTATGTGAAGAAGACTGATATGTTTGCTACAATGAAGAGTGCTGATGCAATTTATATTATGGAGAAGTGCTGATGCATTTTGCACAATGATGAAGAGTGATGATGCTTTTTGCATGATGATGAAGAGTGATCCATTTCGTAAGATGAAGGCTAATATATTCCTGTGTTTTTCAGGCTCAGAGTGATGATGATGATGCTGACGATGTCGCCGTTACCGTGGATACCGGGGGTTTCATGGAGGAGTTCTTTGAACAGGTTAGTAGAAATGTAGGGAAACTCGGTCCGACCCACACCGCTGTCCAAATGTAATAATGCTCATTACAGCCCTCTGTAATGTTAATGTAATATTTTGACTTACATGTCTCAATGTTGAAGATATTATGAGCTGAATTGGACTGAGTATCATGAGGTTTGTACACTAATGTTGAACTTGTTAAATCCCATACACCCTGCTTCAGGTGCATGTAACACATTACAGGGGGTTCGTTTGTTATGAAACATATTTTCAGTGAAATATTTTTGCGTGGGTCTTTTGGATCTATCTTAGACTGCATCCCACTCTCAGTATGACAACAGTGAGAACAAGATCAGTTGTGGTATGACAAACATGTCTATTTTTGTATCGCTATTTACAGTGACGGACCAATCAAATGTCTAGATTTATGAGGAAGAATCAACACTTGTCACATTTGGAATCTAATTCTATCACAGGAAGTGAGTTGACTGACTGACTGACGATATAGAATAGTTTTGTTAAACTGAGTTCATGTAATAGGGATTGAAACAGTGCTTAACTTGCATGCCATGGTACAGTAAATATTGAAATGCCACTGATGAAATTTTTTTCAGTGTGCCCTAAACTAAAATTTTAAAAATAATATTCACCATGAGTTGCTGAATGGAAAATGCAATGAATTTGACCAACTGAAATCATGTGTGCATCAAACTGTTTATCATGGCGCTCTCAATCTTGCAGCTTAACATGGGTGTGGCCATTTTGAATGCCACTACACATAGCAGGAAATCACGCTTTGTATGATAACATAATTTGTGGGTTAGTTTATCATGTTTATGGGTCAAGGACAAATGAAGCTGAACTATTCTTGCAGTTATGATAGTGTTCAGGAAATCCAGCTCTCAAATTGATAGGTTTACGTGTTTACTGATTTATCAAACAATAAATGACATAATTGTTTTGATGTTTTAAGTTAATTGGATCATCAAATGGTATGGGCACATTTATTTTCACAAAGGCACCCCTATATTATCTATCTGGTGCCCTATGGCACCATTAGCAAAATTGCATTTCTATCCATGATTATAATGAACAAGTGGCTTGAGGTGTGCAGTACATACCAACATAAAATTTATTTTAAAATTCATTTACGTTTACATCTGACTCTTGAGTTTGTTTGAAATGATTGAATAGTTGTTTTGTAACAGTCCGTGAACTAACAATACAATGCTTGTATTGTGGTAGAGTAAGTGATAACACCATTATGACATGACAGTGGTTTCTGGTACTGCTGTGGATAGGCCGTCATGATATATCACTGTACAATTGCTGATTACAGGCCACAGCGATATAAATGTGAAATTAGTAATTACAGGCCACTGTAATATTATTAATTACAGGTTAGTGGGATATAAATGCCATATCACTGACTATAGGCCTTCATATTACTGAATGTACATGTACATGCTATAGGCCAGTGTGATATGACAGTGATACAGCTGACTATACATGCTATAGGGCAGTGTGATACGACAGTGATACAGCTGACTATACATATAGGCCAGTGTAATACGACAGTGATACAGCTGACTATACATATAGGCCAGTGTAATACGTGATACGCCAGTGTGTGATACAGCTGACTATACATGCTATAGGCCAGTGTGATACGACAGTGATACAGCTGACTATACATGCTATAGGCCAGTGTGATATGACTGTGATACAGCTGACTATACATGCTATAGGCCAGTGTGATACGACAGTGATACAGCTGACTATACATGCTATAGGCCAGTGTGATACGACAGTGATACAGCTGACTATACATATAGGCCAGTGTGATACGACAGTGATACAGCTGACTATACATGCTATAGGCCAGTGTGATACGACAGTGATACAGCTGACTATACATGCTATAGGCCAGTGTGATACGACAGTGATACAGCTGACTATACATGCTATAGGCCAGTGTGATACGACAGTGATACAGCTGACTATACATGCTATAGGCCAGTGTGATACGACAGTGATACAGCTGACTATACATGCTATAGGCCAGTGTGATATGACTGTGATACAGCTGACTATACATGCTATAGGCCAGTGTGATAACGACAGTGATACAGCTGACTATACATGCTATAGGCCAGTGTGATATGACAGTGATACAGCTGACTATACATGCTATAGGCCAGTGTGACGACAGTGATACAGCTGACTATACATGCTATAGGCCAGTGTGATACGACAGTGATACAGCTGACTATACATGCAATAGGCCAGTGTGATACGACAGTGATACAGCTGACTATACATGCTATAGGCCAGTGTGATACAGCGACCAGTGTGATACAGCTGACTGACTATACATGCTATAGGCCAGTGTGATACGACAGTGATACAGCTGACTATACATGCTATAGGCCAGTGTGATCGACAGTGATACAGCTGACTATACATGCTATAGGCCAGTGTGATACGACAGTGATACAGCTGACTATACATGCTATAGGCCAGTGTGATACGACAGTGATACAGCTGACTATACATGCTATAGGCCAGTGTGATACGACAGTGATACAGCTGACTATACATGCTATAGGCCAGTGTGATATACAGCGACAGTGACAGCTGACTATACATGCTATAGGCCAGTGTGATACACGACACTACATACATGCTATAGGCCAGTGTGATACGACAGTGATACAGCTGACTATACATGCTATAGGCCAGTGTGATACGACAGTGATACAGCTGACTATACATGCTATAGGCCAGTGTGATATGGCTGTGATACAGCTGACTATAATTAAAGCTGTAATAATTAGATTAATATTGCACATTTATAATGCGCTCATTTCCACACTTGCAGCATGTTTAAGGCTCAACAATGAAAGAGTACATAGGAAGGAATGATAACAAAGTTATTAAAAAGATAAGTTTTGAGACTCACTTTGAATGACTCAAACGTTGGAGAAAGTTTAAGGGGGGAAGAAGGTTTTACACTGGTCCTGTGGTCCCTCTCTAGTAAAGATTCATCAGGACCACTAAATGATAAGTTTGCAGTAGTCCTGGTGGCCAGTGAATTTTGTATTGATAGTTACGTAAATCTACGAATGTTATTTTGGACCAGTGAAGTACAGACAGGACCACTAATTATTGTCCACTCAATGGTCCTGTGGTCTTGTGCAAAATTTGTTTCCCTGAGCATAGGTATGTGTTTTGGTCCAATGGCCAAATCCACTCTGTGCGATCCAACATCAACAAGAGATCAGCCTTCAGTAAACACTCAGTTATGGTGAGAATGTTTTTATATTCTTAACCGATGATGTTTACTTGAAGATTAGTGCATTTGTATAGTGTACATGTTTCAGGCAATGTTCTCTCAATTATCCCTTAAATTGATCTTCAGCAAACCAATTAACTTTTCATGCTTAGTTTAATCCCTAATTGTTTCCTGAACTGATAGGCTGGATTACAGACTGACAAGTGAATCAGTTGGGATGCAGACAGCCTTGGAACTCTGTCTCATCTGACATTTTCCTCCAGTCCAGAACACATTTGGATCACACTGGGTCTACTGTAGTTAAAAAATCCCTTTACATAGGAACCAAAAGTACCTTTTCAGATTGATGCCTGTATGTCCTGCATGTTTAGAGATCAGGTTTTGTTGAGCTGTAGAAGTCAAACACGTGGGCTTATGAATAATGCACAAACCACTTCATTTGTCTTTTTGCGTCCAAAGTATTTATTTGTATTGTGAACTTGTGCAGATGACCAGTAGTCTCAGTACCAAGAGTTGCTGTTCGGGTTGTCCCTGTTGTTTCCTCTTAACAACATGGACGTATATTGCTGTTGTGAAGTTCAGACATGTAACACTCAGTGGACAGCATATGAACATGGCAGTTCAGAAGCCATTTGAAATAGTGTTATGAGTGGAGCGTTTTCTGAAAATGTTGTTCACTGGTTTCTAAGTGTACAATGGACTGAAACCAAGCGATTAAAATTTATGAAATACCTACAGAAAAATATGACATAACCAGTGACCATGATGAATTGTGAGTAAATACTCAATGGCTAGAAGAAATGCTTGAATTACTGAAGAAGATATGTACCATAATGTCACTATCAGACTCGGTAGATGGAGGACAGTATCAATGTGAAGGAGCTGTAGAATAGAATGGGTTGACCGAGTTTCTGAACTGATAAGGACATAGGATGAAGTCAGTATGTTGGGGAAGGTTTATGGAGGTTGAGACATCATGTGGAGGTCTGCAGTTGGGGAAGGTGTGTGGAGGTCTGCTGATGGGGAAGGTGTATGGAGGTTGAGACATCGTGTGGAGGTCTGCTGTAGGGAAGGTTTATGGAGGTCTGCAGTTAGGGGAAGACATCGTGGAGGTCTGCTGTAGGAGAAGGTGTGTGGAGGTCTGCTGTAGGGGAAGACATCGTGGTGGAGGTCTGCTGTAGGGGAAGAAGGTGTGTGGAGGTCTGCTGTAGGGGAAGACATCGTGTGGAGTCTGTTGTGTAGGGAAGACATCATGTGGAGGTCTGTAGGGGAAGACATCGTGTGGAGGTCTGTTGTAGGGGAAGACATCATGTGGAGGTCTGGTCTGCTGTAGGGGAAGAGGTCTGCTGTCGTGTGGAGGTCTGGTGTAAGGGAAGACATCGTGTGGAGGTCTCTGTAGGGGGAAGACATCATGTGGAGGTCTGCTGTAGGGAAAGACATTGTGTGGAGGTCTCTGTAGGGGAAGACATCGTGTGGAGATCTGTTGTAAGGGAAGACATCTTGTGGAGGTCTGCTGTAGGGGAAGACATCGTGTGGAGATCTGCTGTAGGGGAAGACATCGTGTGGATGTCTGGTGTAAGGGAAGACATTGTGTGGATGTCTGCTGTAGGGGAAGACATCATGTGGAGGTCTAGTGTAAGGGAAGACATTGTGTGGAGGTCTGCTGTAGGGGAAGACATCATGTGGAGGTCTGCTGTAGGGGAAGACATCGTGTGGAGGTCTGCT